GCATAACGTCTTCCACATTTCTATGTTGAGGGATTACCTCCGGGATCCTTTTCATGTGATAGAGCCTACTCATGTAGTGTTGAGTGATGATTACACTTACGAGGAACGGCCTGTTCAGATTGTAAACAGACGGATCAAGAAGTTGAGAAACAAAGAGATCCCGTTAGTGAAAGTTGACTGGCAAAACCATGGTGGCGTGTATGCCACTTGGGAAAGGGAAGATGACATGGCCAAGAGATATCCTGAACTGTTCCCTCTGAATCTTGTTTTCTTCCAGAATGAAGATAACTCAAGTTTAGAGGACTAAACTCTTTTTAAGGAGGAGAGACTGTAATAACCCTCACCACTGATTACTGACAACCCCACTAATTACTGCTAAACTGAGACTGATTATGATAAGTAATTGAATCGACTGAAATACTGAACTGACTGATTGAATGTACTAGTTTAAATGCATTTCTATCTGTTTGACTGTTAAATTATCTGTCTATGTTTTATGTTTAAATTGTGAATTGAAGGCCTTATTGGCGGCCGAATCCGGAATCGATTGATGTTTTCTGATCATTAGAATTTATGTGATTTTATGGTGTGTTTATTTGAAAACTGATTTGGTATGATTAAATTGGATCAATATTGATAAATTACATATGTTGGCTTTAATTACAACTTTGCTATTTGAGTGGGCCACTACACCAAACTTTGTCTAAGACTTAGTCTTGCATTACACAACTCTTCCTCAGCCATTTTGAGAGCATAGCCGACTAGAGTGAGAGAGTGAGAGGAAAAGAGTGTTTTCAACTTGAATTCATCAATTTGAGTTTGGAGATTTGAAGGAAGTAAAGAGAGATTGCATAATTGAGCCTCCTTGCCTTTGATTCAAGACTTAAGGTAGAGATTGTACCTTCTTGTTCATATAATCAAGTTATATGTTGAATGGTTTATGAAAGTTTAGAGATTAAGGGCATGAATTAACTTTAAATTGTTGAATTGAAGTTCATTCCATGCATGCATGCTTATATCCTAGCATTTTGAGGTTGAATATATGGAATTTGGCACATGCATGTTCATATTTTTGCATTGGACCATGAACTCATCTTGGTTTTGAAGGAATTGACTCATTTGAGCAAGTAATTGAAGCTTTGAATTGGTTTAAACTCATGCATGTCATGTTTGAGTTATGTTCTTGAGTTTTGGTTTGAAATTGGATTTATTTGAACTACCTTTGGGTTTTGATTTTTACAATTGAGCTTTGAATTATGTTAAACTATGAGTTTTGAAGTGTTTTCCAGGAAATGGGCCCAAAGGAATCGAATTTGATACATTTGAAGTTGAATTTGAGCTTGAGGTTCAAATCTGAGAATCCCAGATTTTGAACTCACGCTCGAGCGGGGTGACTGGCGCTCGAGCGTGGAAATCGTGCTCCTAACATTTTGTTTTGTTTTGCAGTCCACTCGAGTGGGTTAATTTACGCTCGAGCGGGACATTGTGTCTTACGCTCGAGCGGATGTCGAACGTCCAATCGAGCGTAATTTTCACACATCCAGCACTTTTGACTGTTTTGCAGTACGTTCGAGCGGGTAAGTCTACGCTCGAGCGGAAACCTTTGTCTGCATGTCCGCTCGAGCGGAGTAACCTACGCTCGAGCGGGACCCCTATTTTCTGAAAATTCTGAAAATACTTTTAAAGTGCATCTTTGCATCCTCATTTCATCCTAGGCATTCTTAGGCCTAGTTTAAGGCATCTTAATGAGGATATAGATGTAGAATCACACCGAGTCAAGATAGGGATTAAGTTATTATTTTCCCAACTGTGAACTTAGTGCGTGTTCAGTCTGTAACTGTGTAGGGTTGGCATCTGAGGACGCGCTCTAACTTAACTGTAGCCCAGAACTCTATGAGTAACAACTGTGTAAAGATATGTTCAAATATGATTATCTTCTGAACAATTGAACTGTACTGTTTTCTAAAATGATACAGTTACTGTTACTGAATGAATGATGTCCTAATTGTGAACTGTATTGTGACATCCTTAGCAACTACTGTTACTATTAGTGTTACTGCTACTGTTACAGAAATCTCTGTCGGTTCCCATATTGGAACCACTACTGTTTACTGATATGATGGCCATCAACTGACTGTTCGGTCTGATAAGACCTACTGTACTGTTTTGCTACTGGATGTACCACATAAGACTGTAATGACTGAATAACTGATATACTGATTGAAATGATTGTTTTCAATACTGTAAGGACATTCATTCTTAACCTCTTTACGCATTATGTTATTCACTGGGCTTTAGCTCACTGCTCATATATATATATGTAGGTGTATAGGCACCGGACCGTTGCTAGAAGCGTCGGGATAAACTCCAGTTTTGTCAAGCCAACCTATGTGCCTCACTGCGAGGTTCCGAGCCTGCCAAGCTATGGCTTAGGGGTGTTTTAATTTCCCCCGTCTGTCTCTGTATCTGTTTTTGTAAATGTTGTACAAACTGTTTTGCACTGATTGTATATATATATGAAAAGTCTTTTTGCATACAAACTGTCACAGCTCATTGGACACTATTTACTTACTGTTTTGGCTTTCGCCATGCCCCTGTACTCTGTATTACTGTATTACTATATTACTGTTAAGCAGGCCGTCGGTAATCTCGGATTACTGGCCGGTTACGGTGCTAAACCCATAGGGGCGGGTTTGGGTCGTGACAAGAATCTTGCGCAAGTGAGTTGCGAACCCTAACATGGCACGAGAAGGTATTTCGGCTCTTATTGGTGTAGGCGATATAAGGTTGGTGGTACGGGTGTCACAACATAGACCGTTCCCGTGGGGCAGACCGTGATGTCACGACTCAGAGATGTGGGCATCATTGGTAGTTACAGTAAGTAACATTTAAATATTTGACCAATGAGGAGTCAGAATTGCCCGTGGCCATTGCTTAGTGGTTGAATGGAAATAGTGCTCCGCGGGGAGTTACTAAATTTATTTGAAAAACTAAGGGTTGTTTGGGATGACCTAAATAAGTGCATTTTTTGTCTTTTTACAAAAAGATGTGTAGAAAAGCAGAAAGGTGATGTGATGGAAAAAAGATAAAAAAATAAAAAGATGGATTATTTTTGGGTTGCCAAACTTGGCCTAAATCTATGAAAAAAAAAAAATTTGTGGACAGATTCCTTATGATGAAATACTGTTTCCGTTTGTTATATTTTTATTTGATTTATTATTATTTATTGTTATTATTTCAACTGATAACATTTATTTTATGCTTACTAAATGTTACTGGTTATTCTGTTATTACACATTATTCATGAATTGTGAATATTATTATCGGGGTGGGCATTTTCGGGTTGTAGTATCTTATTGAGCTCGTCGCTCACTAGCATTTCCGTTGCCCTGGCATTTTTTTATGCCAAGTACCGAAGAAACTGAAGGAGACACCGAGGCCTTGCAAGGCGACACTCAGCCTTGGTTAGCTTGAAGAGTGCCCAAGTTCCATGAATCAATTCCTAAAAATTCTAGGTTTTTTTTATTTTTTTTTTTATTTTATTTTTTTTTATAGTTTTCTTTTTATATTTGTGTCATTTCGGTTATGTACTAAGACTAAGTTGTGATGTAAGAACTTTAAATTCTGAGTTGTTAATTAATGGATGTTAGTAATCTTGGTGGCAATATTGATTTTAAGTTTCTAAATCTTATTATGATGTCCTTAAATTTGGGGCGTCACAATGGGTCTGTGAAATTATGTTCTTGGAGTGATTTTTGATCGATTTATTGTGATGAGTCTCAGTTTCTGTATCACTCTTGATTTTTCTCTAAATTACTCTTGAATTTTCTCTGGATTTGGCAATTTTCTCTGGATTACCTTTGAATTTTCTCTGAATTTGGTAATTTTCTCTGAATTACCCTTGAATTTTCTCTGGTTTCAATTTTCTTTGATTTTTCTATGGTTTGAATTTTCTCTGGTAAATGATTTGAATTTCTCTGGTTTCATCGCGATTTTGTTTGTTTGGGGTCAGATTAGGGTTTTTGAATCTGTAATAGGCTTCATTGCATTTTTTCCCCTCTGTATTTATCTTCTTGATGTATACAAAGTTACCCATGATGTTAAAGCAGAGAAATTTGCCTTCATCTCTGGCATCCCAATCACAGAAATTGGAATTTCTTTGGATTTGAGAGGAAGAATTTCTCTGGTTTGGGTTGGAGAGGGAGAATTTATCTGGGTTAAGTGAATTTCTCTGGATTGGAGATGAGAATTTCTCTAGTTTTCAGTGAATTTCTCTGAGTTAGAGAGGGAAATTTCTCTGGGTTGAAGTGAATTTCTCTGGAAAGTCCAGAGAAATGTGAGATTTTCTCTGTGCAGTCCAGAATTTCTCTGAATAGAATTTCTCTGGGAAAAATTTCTCTGGGCTGAAATTTCTCTAGACTGAAATTTTCCTGGATCAATGTTGAGGGACCTTAGATATTATGAAAATATTAGATGTCCTTTATATTATAAAGTCTTAACACCAGGGACCCTAAAAAAAAAAACCCCATAATGATATGTGGTGGACTTTTGAAGGAATTTTTTTTGTATTTCTCCTTAATGCATTAAAGTTTTATTATAAAAAAATTTTGACCAAGTCTCCCAAAATTTATATACGGAGCTGTTCTTGAAAATTATGTCTATTTTTATTTCTAAAAATAACTTATGCTACTTTTATTAAAAAAAAAAGGGGAAAATTATGGTACAATGGTGATTTTAAAAAATATTTATATACATAAAATAATTCAAAATTTTAATTATTAATATTCATAAAATTTTTCATTGGTTTGTATTTTTTTTTTATGCATTTACACTGACTAAAAATTTTTCTTTAAGAAAAAGAAAATTATTATTTTTAGACCAAAAAAAAAAAAAGAAAAAAAAGAAAATGAAGAGCATTTTCGAATTTTTAAGCATTTTTGTTTTTAAAAATATAAAAAGAAAATGAAACAATGAAAATAGCTCCCTTTTCTTTTCAAAACACAGCGTTTACCGGTATTTGCGCGGGAACCTCAAGAGAGCTTTCTCTTCTCCGTCTCCGTCTCCGTCTCCACCTCCACCTCCGTCAGCCCTTCAAACCAGAGCAACAATGGCGTCTCAAAACCCTAATCAAACCCCAATGCATCCAGAGGTGATCCAATCGAGCCCAGACAATTCGCCTCCATCCAATCGAGCCTCGATTTCGCCTTCACAAATCGACACGAAAGACCTCGTCGAGAACCTGTTTCCAGACAAACCCGAAACTTCCCACAACAGCCCCAATCCTAATGTCCCCTCCGCCCCTTCCGAGTCCGTCGAAGAGGTCATCCTCACCGTCCCCGGCGCAATCCTCCACCTGATCGACAAACAGTACAGCGTCGAGCTCGCTTGCGGCCATTTATCGATCATTCACCTCCGCCAGGGTGACAATGTCGTCGCTGTCCTCGCCCGCGTTGCCGACGAGATCCAATGGCCGCTGGCTAAAGATGAGGCTGCGGTTAAACTGGATGAATCGCATTACTTCTTCTCTCTCCGCGCTCCGAAAGTGGACGATTCAGATTCAGATTCGGATTCGGATTCGAGCGATGATGAGAGCAGCGGAAAGAAGGGATCAGTGATTGATCCGGATAATTTGTTGAATTACGGGCTGACGATTGCGTCCAAGGGGCAAGAAGGTTTGTTGAAAGAGTTTGATGAAGTTTTGGAGCATTACAGTAGCTTTTCAGTACAGAAGGTGTCGGAGAAGGGGAAGAAATCGGAGGTGTTGGATGTAACGGTTGTGAAGGAGATTGCACCGGAGGATTTGGAGTCGGAGAAGAAGAAGGAGCTGATGGAGGAGCAGTGTGCTGCGTACTGGACCACATTGGCGCCGAATGTGGAGGATTATAGTGGGACTGCGGCAAAGCTGATTGCGACAGGGTCGGGGCAGCTGATTAAGGGGATTTTGTGGTGTGGTGATGTGACTGTTGATAGATTGAAATGGGGCAATGAGGTTTTGAGGAAGAGGATCAAACCCAGTTCGAGCTCGGAGATCAGTCCTGAACTCTTGAAGAGGATCAAAAGGTATATTTTTTTTGCTGCTGTTTTTGTTGTCAACCTTTTGTTTTCTGAAAGCATTTGGATTGCTTTGTGGACTGTTTTCTGAATGTTACTGGTTCTTTGTGATTTTGTGAATGTTTGACTTTGGTTTGGTTTTCCATTACATGTGGAGAATTGATCATTGAATTGGATTTGGGAGTGTCAAATTAGGGAATGGATGGTAATATCCGAATTTTGAATGGATGTTTATGATCTTTGTACGTTGTTTGTTCTTTTAGGGTTAAGAGGGTGACAAAAATGACTCAGAAAGTAGCAACTGGGGTCCTTACTGGGGTTGTGAAGGTTTCGGGATTCTTCACCCGTTCAGTTGCTAACTCGAAAGTGGGCAACAAGTTCTTTGGCCTCCTGCCAGGGGAAATTGTTCTTGCGTCCCTGGACGGATTTAGTATGTGCATCTTCTCTCTCTCTCTCTGAGTTTTATATGCACATTTGAAGCTGTTGGGTACATGACAAATTTTAGTGGACCTGTCTGTTATTCACTCTGCTGCTCAACGTTTGAAATTTGTACATATTTGCTTCTGTTTTGGATTTGGAAGTTCAATTTGTATTCCAGCTCCTGTTCCCACTTTTGTCTATTTTTGTTTCACTGCCACCTTGACTGCCAATTAGTTTTGCTGTGCATTTAATTTGGTTTTTTTTGTTACTCAATGATGTTTTGCCTTTGATGTGGAGCTAGATAAGGATTTGAACCATTATAGAGGCTGATGATGGATTGTTGGAGTTTTTGGACTCTGAAGGGCATTGCATACCGTACATATTTTCTCTTTACTTGGGATTAACTTTGGAATTCATGGGATGGTATAATCTTTTGGTCCATAACCTTTACTTGGTGTTGAGATGTCACTAGGTTGTTGACCAAGTTATTGACTTGATGTGTTGAGGTTGATCAAGTATTTTTTAAGAGTTTTGTGGTTCATAAACATTGGCATTGGAATTGGGAATTGTTATGGGAAAATGAAGGGAAAACTAATGAGAAGGAAAACCTTTTTTTTTTTGCCTTTGTATTTTCCCTTTTACTTAAGGAAACACTGGCTTAAAAAAATATATGAAATGATAAGAAGCCATGAAAAAGAGAAAGATAAATGATAACTAGAACCATTAATCTCTCACGTACTTTGTTTATTTTTTCTTTTTCTCATTGTTTTCTTTTGTAACGAAACTAGGGACAATTGATTTCTTTGAATTTCCCCCATTTTCGCTCACCAAATCCATGAACAAAAAAGAGTGTATGTCAAACGTATCCCATCTGTGCTTCATTGCATCTCGTGGTCTTCTCTTTGAGTATGAATATCATTCTTGGGATCCCTTCTAATTCTCAAGCTGACTATACAACAGCAGACAAGTCACTCTTCACCATCTACCTCATCTTAGGCTACTCATAGTAATTTACTTGAATTTTAAACATGCTGGTCTAACAGGATGGGGATTGTTGAATTGATTGTTCACTTGAGACTTGAGTGGTTTGTGGAGCATGCACTTTATGCTTTTCTTGGTGTTTTGTTCCCTTGAGGATATGAATACATATATAATGCTTCTTTATAATACCAAGTAACTGAGATTGGCTACCAAGTCGCTTAATGTTTCTGTTCACTTTCTCTCTGTTTAAAACTAGACCCATCACTTTGTCTTCCTCTCACTTTGTCTCTCTCAAAACCTTATCCATCACTTATGCTTCCTCTCTGTTGAGTCACCAGTTATCCCAAAAGCTTACGCTGTTAGGAAATGTGTCCAACAATGTATATTAAGCTATCCAACACCCTTTCTCATGTACAACCCTGTTTTGCATGTGGAGAACCAAACAAAAGGAGAAGCAAACAACCAAACAAAGAAAAAGACATCAACGGGGACAGAATACCAAATGCCAATAGAGAGACTTAATCCCAAGACCTCTGTCAACTTGAGCTCTGATACCATGTCAAGTCATCCCAAAAGCTTAAGTTGTTAGGAAATGGGCCCAACAATGTATGTCAACCTATTCAACTCACTTTCTTTGTGGCTCCAAAAATAGACCCGTCACTTTCTCTCGATAAAACTAGACCCATCACCATGGATAAGGACGACTAAACAGGATGAGTACCTTATTTTTTTGTGCCAAGTTCAACCCCGTTGTTCCTTGAATGAGCCTTGATCCAAAGATAATAACACTCTAATGATTTATCATTCTTCATAATCATATCTTTTGGTAGACACAGTTATGAAGTTCTGAAATCTCAATATATTTGCTTCATCACTAAAATAACTTGTCATTCCATGCACCGTATAAAGCTTATCATCATTAGCGTGTTATTGTCCTTTTAAGAAGGATCCTCCCCAAAGGCTTTCCGCTCTGCATCATCCAAAACCAAATTCATGTACTCGCTGAACCCAATAATGTGCCCTTCAATCCTCAGGTCCTGCTCAAAAAACCATTTCTGGATGCAAGATGTAATTTGAAGGAATCTGAAATTGAGATTGATAGGTTGGTACATGATCCTCTGGACTTAGGTGGTCGCAATGGCTGCTACCTGCCTCGCTGATAGTGTTGTCTCCTTCAGAAAACCTTCATTCTTCATAATCATTTAAAAAGTGATAATTTGATAAACCAGCTATTTTGGTTGAATTCTATTTGGTGTCTTTTGCATCATCGCTCTCTTTTTCTTTTACAGCACTTAAACTTTAGTTCACATTTTTTCTTGACTTTTATCCTTCTGAATAGGTAAGGTTTGTGATGCTGTTGAAGTAGCTGGAAAGAATGTGATGTCAACCTCATCAACCGTGACAACTGGACTTGTCTGTCACAGGTAAATCTTGATCTATCTAATATCCAACACATCCATGATTAATGCAATCAAAAATGAAAATAGAAAGCTCAACTTTGTGACTTCTCTTTGCAGAATGAATTTATGCAGAATCCATTAGTTGAATTAAATTATTTTATTGTTATAATGAGAACATGAATTTTAGAGGAACAAATTTTATCCTGATGCAGATATGGGGAAGAGGCAGCCAAGGCAACAACTGAAGGACTCGATGCTGCAGGGTATGCTGTTGGGGCAGCATGGGCTGTTTTCAAAATTCGAAAGGCTTTTGACCCAAAAAGTGTTATAAAACCTTCCATCTTGATCAAGTCTCCTGCTAAAATTGTGGCTGCTGAGGTGAAAGCGAAAATTTCCAAGTAATTTGATGTGCATTGTTGATTTGGTGCAACTTCTGCAGTAGATATGCCATTCGAATTTTGAACCCCAATATTTTTGCCTGCCTCACATGTTATACAAAAAGTTTTCCGTAGATATTGTTGACTGTAGGTGAAAATGTTGGTCGGTGACCAATTTTTTAATTTTTTAAACATTTGTTGATTGTACTGAACGTAAAACAAGGAGATTGATGGAGACAAAAAGCTTCTTTTTATTGGTCAATTGTTGTAAGCTTATCAGTCATATGGAAATCGAATGTTGTCATCTGTTTTCAGATGGGGATTTAATTGAAAACAAACAATCAATATCATCTAAAGATTTCACACTACTATTAATTAATTGGTTGAAAATGAGAAAAATAAATAAATTAATCAGCTATTTTTTTCCAGGGGAAGATTGGTATTGGCTTTTGTTGAGGGGTTTGGAAGCCAATACAGGCTGTGATCAACCAACGGTTTTGAGGTTTAGAAACAAGAAGTGGATTTTTTGGCTTAATTAGGCTTTGTTCGTAAAGGCAGATTGCATAGTTTTTTATGTTCGTGAAGGGACAGCTTCTAAATGTCCCCAAAAACATCTTTGGAACCCCACCATTTTATGAATTTTTTTAATACCTTTATACCTCTAAGTAAAATTACAAGGCATGACAAAAACCTTAAATTTGTTTCTCTCTGCACCCGCACTATCCACCTCCAGCAGCCACTGCCACCACCTCCTACCACAATTCTAGACCTTCTCTTCCTCTCTCACCACACCTAGGACGCCCCACTCCTGAGTTTTTTATGTTCGTGAAGGGAGAGCTTCTAAATGTCCCCAAAAACATCTTTGGAACCCCACCATTTTATGAATTTTTTTAATACCTTTATACCTTTAAGTAAAATTACAAGGCATGACAAAAACCTTAAATTTGTTTCTCTCTGCACCCGCACTATCCACCTCCAGCAGCCACTGCCACCACCTCCTACCACAATTCTAGACCTTCTCTTCCTCTCTCACCACACCTAGGACGCCCCACTCCTGCGACCCAGCCCTCCCCTCACTCAACCACCACCACCCACCCCATCTATAGCCAACCTCCAGCCCCTTCTTTGGACCAGTGGAAGTGAGTAATTATTCAGTAACTTCAGAGTAATAACTTAGTAATTATTTAGCCCCTTCTTTGGACCAGTGGAAATGAGTAATTATTCGGTGACCTTAGGCATTTACTGCATCTACACGTCATTTAGCATCAAATCCATGCCTAGTTTTTATTTCCGTGCAAACATTGTTGCTACTGCATTGCTTCATTATTTTCCAAACATTGGCTTTCACAAACTTGCATACAACACGCTTCCTTTAAAGTTAAGGTAATATTGTTCATGCATTGTGACTGCCACCTATCGACAGCCCCAGTAAGTATGCATACAGATCTATAGCGCATGCTTTCAATTGCTTGAATTGGAAACTCGAGCATTTGCAAGCAGTTAAAATCATATATTTTGCTTTCCCTGCATGCTACTATTTTTTACATTCATACTCTATATTACACTTTACCTCCTCAACTGTAGTTGAATATCACTTTACCCTTCTCAACATAAAACCATACATTTAGATCCGTCAACTATATATATATAAAATAATAAAAAAAACCCCCATACAATAGCCCCCTTCTAGAGGGGGCAAAGTGAAGAATTTTTTTATGGTTGAGGGGCCTAAATGTATGTTTGTTTTTAGTGATTGTTGAGGGGGTAGGGATCACTTTGGATTACTGTTTTGTGACTATTCATGTTTCAGAATGTGCATTCCAAAACATAAATTGCTAGGGCATTTGCGTTTTTGGGTACCTTTGGTATGAACAATATCTCATATCCATGTGCTTAACGATAGCCTAACTCACCATTTCTGTTATTATTTGCAGGACATGAGCTGTTAGATGTGATCATGAGTATGATGGCCTAATTTCTCTCTCTCTCTCTCAACACAAACACAAACACAAACACATGCTTGGGGCTTTTGCACTTTTTCTTTTGCCACAATAGGAATAGACACAATAGTTATCTGGATTATCTTATAATTATTTCTTAATTCAGGTTCTATTTGGTGCATATAACTAGGTAGATTTATGTTGAGGCCCTCAATCATTTTGAAATGATATCTCTGAATTCAGGGTTTCTTCTCGGGCCAAGTGTTCAACAGGATGTGTGTTTTTTACCTTTGAAATGGCCATCTTGTCATTTTCTATCCGATGATATTTTTCTTGCAGAAGCAACACCTTACAGAGTGCTGGAACAGAGTCTGCTGTCAATTTGTGGCAGGCTTTTCTTCCTAGCAATGATGACTTATCATCTGAAAGGTCAATTTCCTATTTTTGAAGTTAAGACTTCATCATGTTGTTTTCTTTTGTTGATTTCTTCTAATGATCTTATTTAATTCTATGATTTTGGCAACTTGGTGGAGTCACCCAAGGCAGATAGGTCCATTGCTCAATTCATACATTAACTATGAAGACAGTGCATGGTAGTTGCTGCAAACTTCATTTTGCACAAATGTATAAAGCTTTTGTTATTGTTGAGAGTGAGGTGGTCGCAGTAGACCCTTGATAGGAAGATGACGGCTACTTGGATGGCTGATGACCACTAGAGGTGGATGTGAAGAGCTGAGGCCAATAAGAGAAGAGGGAGCAAATGGTCAAATTGGATTGTCCTGGGGGAGGTCGAGCCATGTGTAACAACTCACTTCAGATATGTTCTTAAACCCCTTGGTTTGACATATGGAGATTTCCTCCCTTCCCAACAGTTTTACGACAGATCTTTGAGATCATATCATAGGATAATAGTGTTAAGTCCCTTTCAATGGTGTAGGGTTAAGTATGATATTGCTCCCAAGGTAACATGTGTCTTGGCCAAGTCTCTCTTGGTCAAGGTGGAGCCATCCCAAGGAGGGACAACTAAGCGACCTTGACAATCCCTCCTCATCTCCAGCCTTCAGTCCACAAATCCTCCAATGCTCTCAGCTAGGTGGAGCCTGTTGGTCGTGCTCTCAGCCTAGGTTAACACTTGTAATGTGCCCTGGCAGCTAGGACTTATTGTGTCCTTTGGCTTGGGGCATACACGTTCATTGACTGAGCAGATGGGTACAGCTCATGCCCATGGGCGAGCCATAGGTGGGCCATAGCTTGGGCAGAGATTTCTATGGCCGAGCCAGAGCATTAATACGAGTGATCCGTGGTATCATAGAAATCTATTGAGGCAAACTTGGAGCAGCTTATCCTTGCTAGGAGAGGGATTTAGAGCCCACAATTGGCTCACATGCGACGTCACAAGGATCGCACGCAGTGCCTTTCCTGCGAGATAACAGACTGGCAATGACGTGAGTCCATGTGGCTGACCTGAATGGCCATACCCAAATTATATCATGTGTTTTCTAATTGAGTTAATTTGTTGGTTTAAACTAAGAAAGTGATAGTTTAAATGAGAGTGGGGGATGAAGAGAGAGAACCACTGATTTCAGGTGATGAAGGCTAGAATCCCTGCTCTTGAATGTGAGAGAGGCAGGTCATAGTAACCGTCTTAAACTAGCATGACCTTAATTATTCTATTCATTTAAAAGCAGAAAAATTACTACCATCTCAATTTGATTAAAACCATTATTGTTGGTAGCTTAGCTCAAATCTGCCCCTGAACTGCTCATCCTCAGAAGTTAAAGCCATACTTTCATGCAATGTGACTGCCACCCATTGACAGACCCAATAAGTTGCATACAGATTTATAGTGCATGTTTCCAATTGCTTAAATTGGAAACTCAAGCATGTGCAAGAAGTTAAAAGCACCTATTTAACTTTCCCTGTATACTACTATTTTTTACATCCATACTCTATATAATGTTAGCTCTGGTTTGTGTAAAATAATGCCAATGTATTGGTTGGAATAAAAGCTAGGCCATTCTCTTAGTTAGTGAAAGGATGGTGGACACCATCAGCTTGCGGTCAATCGGTTTTGTCAGATAAGCATCCATACCAACCTCCAAGCATTTGGCTTCATCTGATGACATTGCATGGGCAGTTAGTGCAACAATTGGGATGTGTGAACTGGTTCCCAATTCTGATTTCCGGATTGCCTTTGTTGCTTCATAACCATCCATCTTTGGCATCTGGTTTGACATCAAACAAAGTAGAATTTAGTTTGCAGAAATTCACAGGGTAAAATTTTCTGAATTTTATAGTTGTGGGATGCTCAGTATCCGAAGAAAAATACCACTTTCTCTGGCTTAAAATTTTTAACTCAATTTATTTCTTTTGCACTGGGTATGATTTTTGCTACTGAAAATTCTGACCTAAATATTTTCTTTCTCCCCTTTTCCTTGTTACTATAATAGGCAATAGCCTATGATCAAACATGAAAAAAAAGGGGATCTAACCTGACAATCCATTAGGATCAAGTCGTACGGTAGGCATTCCTCAATTTTAGTTTGAGTTCTTGCATTGCCATCTTCCAAGGTAGATCCTCTTCTACACTCATCTGCACCTAGTTTGATCTTTAGAGCATCCACTGCCTGCATTCCATCTCCTACAACCACTACAGTAGCCCCCAATTTTTCCAGCATTATTGTTGCAACTCTCTGGAGTACTGGTGTATCTTCTGCCAGCAGTATACATATGCCTTCAAGAGCTTTCTGTTCATTAACAACTTTTCTGGAATATAGACTACCTTGCTCTTTTGAACAACTGCTAGTCAAATGCTGTTCCTGGCATTTTGAATTGTCATGCAATGTGGATCTGAATTGATTCGGATCATTTGTGCAAAAATCTCCTTCTTGTGAATACACTTGACTTAACTCAACAAAGCAATTGTTAACTGTCACACGCTGTGATGGACAAGGTGTAGTCGAATATTCTATTTGCTTTTCTTTAGTATGAGATTCCCTCATGGAGTTAGAACTTCCCATTTCGGACTTATCAGAATCATCAGAACTGGCTGCATCATACTGAATGGGATCTAATTCGAGACATTCATGCAAATCACCTTCTGCTGTCATAGATTTGAAGGCATTAGTTTTCTTTTGCAGCTCAAGATTTCTCTCCTTTATTGCAGCTTCCAAAATTTGAATCATTTTTGCCTTGTATAGTGGTCTATTAACCATCAATAGATGCCCTTTACTACGAAGCTCCATCTTAATGGTGTTGGAGGTGTCATGGTTTAGTATCCATGCAAACTTTGCTTTCCCGCAGTATTTATCAAGGAAATTTAACTGTTCCTTCCATATATCCGTGTTCAAGTCAAGTAGGCCTATGTCAACAACTATGATGAACACTGAATCCTTCACTTCTTGCTTATTTAATGATTCGGCTTTTGAGCATTCTGTAGGTGAACATTGTGCATTACTTTTGGCTTTAAAGCGTTCCTGAAGAATTTGAGTCAGCTCATTCCATTCAGATGCTTCCCAGGTAAGCACTTCGTTTTTCTGTAACCACTGAGACATTTTCAATCTACCCATTTTACCATTCAGTGCAAGTAGGACCTGCATTCCAATTTTGAAAATCATTGCTGTCAAAATCTTTCACACATGAGTTTGAATAAAAAATTATTTCAGCTGAATTTCATATCAGCTTTTAGACTCCAGTATGAAGTTTATCCTACCTATTCATGGTCATGTATTCTACGCAGAGGGAGGAAGGTAAAGAGGGAAAAGCAAAGAGAGTACTACATAAATCTTGTGATCTTTAGATTTCATTGTCTAGATCCAAGAACTGTTTGCAGCAAAAGTATTGCAGAAAACAATTTTGGACTCTGTGTACTAGATTACATGCTATCAATAATTTCCCTTATTTTCGTTGGCTAGAATCTTTGCACCTCACTAGGAGATCAAGGGTTCTTGGTAAAAAATATTTACATGTCAGAATGAAGTAACTTACCATCAAGCTATGTTCAGTAAATTTTAGTTGACAATGCTTTCCTGCAGTATCTGCTGATGTACCGAGAAGCAAGTATAATCGCATTAGAGTGCCCGGGCCATTCTTCTTTACCACTTTGATTTCTCCACCCATCTTGTTCACCTGTTAGCACCTCACATTGTAAGATAGAATAAGGAGATCCACAAAGAGGTGGTGTGCAAAATACAGAAAAAAATAAGTGACATTTTTTAGTTACATTTCAAATAAGATGAATTATGAGTCAACCCAAATGTCACATGTGTCAACCTGATTGAGATTTTGTTTTGCTCTAGTTCTAGTGTTTCGGTTTTCATGACCAAAAAATTTTATACCAGGGAAAATGCTTTTACTCACCAAGGTTCGCACAATGCATAGGCCAAGGCCAGTGCCACCATGCCTGAAAATGGAAAAAGAGTTCAAGAAATTCATTATAGAGTTTATTATAGCATATAAACAATAATTGTAACAGCACAATAGACTTCACATTTACTCAATAATGGATTCTTATTAATAAATTTAACCAGTGGAGGATGTACAGCTTGGAAATCTGCTTACGTGCGAGTTGTTGAGGGATCAGCTTGCTCAAAGCTTTCAAAAACAGACTCCCATTTGCTTGGATCGATTCCTACAATAAGAAAATAAAGGAGAGAGGTCAATCAATAATTTTTTTTTTTTGAAATTGAATGTATTATGTTGTAGGTAGTTAAGAGTCCATTACATAGCTCTGAGGTACATACCACAGCCAGTGTCATCAACTTCAAACCAAAGAATCACTTTGTTATCTTTTTTGCAGGATCTCTTTGCGTGGTTTACATATTGCTTCAAAATTGTTTTATGTGTACTCCATGATTCCTTTGGATTGAGATGAAACTTCCTGCCGTTGCTAGAAGTGTTTGGCTTCTCACACCATCCTCGCAGAACAATGTAGCCAGCTGTAAGCCACTTGGAAAATTAAATCCTGCTGGTTTTATCTTTACTTTCTAAAGAAAATTAATTCTCTTGTAAATGAATGAACTTGTGCTCTTTCTTCTTCTTCTTTTTTTTTTTTTTTTCAATATATAATACTATTCCATCATCACTACAATTATTATCCCTTAATTTTCACCATTATTGTCCTTGGTGCCATTACTAACGTCGCCATTGCCTTCTCCACCACTACTAACTCACCATCACAATATAAAAATTATAAGATATACAATTTGAAAATAAAAAATTTCAAATTTAATCTTATACATACCAAATAATTTATTTTAGTTCAACACTTAATTTTTTTATTAAACAACTTCTCAACTTAAAAATTCAACATTCAATTTTATGTACTTAATTTTCAATTTTATCAAATATTACCTAAGGGGGTATGTAATAGCCTGATTCAACACGTAAAATTGAATTTATTAAATGATAATCAATTAAGCTAGTTTGATAACCATAATTGATATAACTTAAAAATTTAAGTGCCCTTAAAATATAGATTAAAAGTTAAGGAAATTTTAAATCATACGAAACTTACATAATTCGGATTGAATACTTTGTTGGAGATCATTAGAGGAATCTAGTTTTTTTGGCATTGAGATAGACTTATAGGCAGTTAATTGAAAGAGCACTTTTGCTTATGTTTTCCTCCTTTCTATTCTTATCTGTATGTTAACTTTGATAAAAAAAAATTACTTGGACCTTTTTTTTTTCCTCGTCTCTTAGTTTCATTCACTGTTTAAGCTGCATTGCAAATTGTTTATCGAAACACAAAAAAATTGAGCGTGCAAATCAGGCAGTGTGACAGTTGCACTTACACGTAGTAAACTTGATAGAATTGCTAATTAGGTTTGCAAAAATTTGAACAACTCTTGCAGAGTCACCTTGAACTAATCTTGGCATATCATCTATAAAAGAAAAAAATGAGCAATAATGTGTGTCAGAACCTCTGAAGTAGAGACTACTAATTATATAATATGATAATTGAACTTAAATTCTTTTCGATTATGATCTTTATGTGATGAAGATTGTCATACCAGATAGATCTAGAACAGTCTCCACATTGTGGTTAATGCACTGCACAGAGAACATATCAACAAGCCCTTCAAGTTCTCTCCCCAAGTCAAACTCAGTTTCTTCCAGCACCAGTTTTCCAGATTCAACCTATATAATGTTTTCAAAGGATGTTAATTTAATGAGCACTGCAGTATTCTGGTAAAACTTTAGCCATTAGGTTCTAACTTGGTAATCATGCTGCCAAAATTTCAATATTATTCTGGCATATTGGGGCCCACTTGTTCAGTGGTTAAAACTTGGCCTACTAACCTTGGGGATGTGGATTTAAACTTGAGAGTAGCCACTTTGTGCAAATTATGCCAAAAGTTAGGTTTGTGCTTAATCTACCCCTCCCAGACCGCCATCCAGTGGGGGTCTAAAGTAGTAGTACTTTTTATATTTTTTTTTATTACTCTTGTATATGGACATTAGTTTAAAACTTGAAACTCCTAGCTAAAATTAAGTTTATTTTCTTAATAAGGTCAAAAAAATCCAATATAATTCTGAAACTGCTAACAAATGTAGTTTGTTGAGCTATTGAACTTCTTCAGTCAACACAAAGGAAAAAAAAGAAAAAGAAGAAGCTAATGATAGAAGGTAACTGCCTTGTTCTGTCAGTTGTAAATCACTCTAAACTTTCTATAACTTTAAATTTACGTGATTAGTTTGTTCTAGTACATGTTTATGAAACAACTAGTTTGGTTTCTTTTTTATGGGAGGGCTTGCCTTTGTTTCTCACCTTACTGAGATCCAAAATGTTGTTGAGAAGCCGGAGTAATGCAGTTGAGCATTTACGAATTTGGGTAATTGTTGCATATTGCTCATTTGTGAGACAATCATCACACATAAGGATGTCCAGCAGTCCAATCACTGCAGCCATAGGTGTTCGCAATTCATGACTGTCACAACAGAAGCAAGTTTTGCCATCATGATGATTAACGATACAATAATGTGTTATCCAATAAAAGGCAAAATGTAAATTAAATGGGTTCACACAATAATTAGATGGTTTAAATTCAGTAAAAAGACAATGTAAGACTCAGAGAATGACTCATGCGACTTGGTTTAAGATGGAACATAATATAAAATAAATAAATAAATGAATGAAACAAGGATGGACCTACTGGGGGGGCAAGGGGGATGATCGCCCGCCCCCCTACGATTTCAAAAAAACCCTTGTTATAATAATTTTGGCTATTAATTATCTCCAAGTTATATAGTCTTGTGCATTCTAAGGGTTTTTATTTTATTTTATTTTAAATGGCCATCCCCTCTACCTTTTTAAAGAAATTGAAGCCTATGAAACATTGGGTCAAAGTACAAAATTAAAAAACTTGAACAAAATAAAACAAAAGAAATTATTTTCTCATAACAAGTGTAAAGTATAAGCCCTAATCTGCAGAGAAAAGAAGAGTGTGGAGGAGAAGTCAACAACTTACTCAATTACATTTATGGAGAAAATTATTGTTCGAGATTTTATTATCGAATCTATTATAGATGCTTTTAATGACCTAAAAGAGTGTTGAGCATAATTCAAGATATCTCATTTTAGTAGATAGATTGTCTTATCATTGCTATCTTTTGTAACTACTCAATGTGGATACAAGAAAACATGCTTATTTATATAAATTTTCATTTTATTTTTCACTTTTTATGCTGGTAGAAATTGATGTTGTAGTCCATAGTTTCATTTTGAAATTTATGTTAGTATATACGTTAGAATCTTTGGTCCGTCCTTGTTTCCATTCGAACATTTCATTATATTATCTTATATGTTGACAAGACAACCAAGTTCAAAATGATACTCACCTCATGTTTGCTAAAAACTGGCTTTTGTAGTTGCTAGATGCCTCTGCCTTTCTCCTTGCATCTAAGTGACTGATCAACTCTGCTCTTAGTTTCATTTCCTTTGACACCCCATTTGTCAATATGAAAATGCAAACACAACCGACAACTAGGATACATAATGAAGCTGATATCAGTATTACCAATGTTTTGAAAGCCCTCTCATCTACCTTCCCCATTATATATTTCCTCGGAATAATGATCACGCCTACCTGTAAAAGTATTGCTCTTTAAGAACCAAGTTCTTACCACTGTTGTTAGAACTGAGATTTCAATGTATGATAAGAAATCTTACCATTGGAAGCCTCTTTAAGTTTAGGAAAAACGAATCGATGTAATATAACTGGTGTCCAAGCCGAGCATTCTCTGCATGAACCTCGTGACTTGGAGCAAAATTGTCGCCATAGGCCTGCTTTAGCCACTCTGCTCCCAATCGTATCACTTGATCCTCAGAATCAACGGCCATCATAAGCTTAGGCCCTGTCGTTGAATTCATCAACAGAGGAGTGTTTGAGGAAGTAGCAAGTAACCAGCCTTCTTGAGAGGTCAAGTAAATGTGTCCGCTGTGGAATTCAACAAGTTCTTTCATAAGCTGACCTACGCTATAAAGCGCAGTTGTAACGCCCACAACCGCCACTATGCTTTTGTTGGAAGCATCCCAAACCGGCAACGCTGCAGAAAGCAATGGTGAATCCGTGTATTTGCTCACTGCTACGTGCCACGAAGCTACACCGTCAGGTACTTGTGAAAGGCCTGCAATGTTAATTAGATCATCTGGAAGGATTGGCCTTGCTTTCCCTATCTTTTCACCTGTGAGAGGATCGAGTGGTTCTCGGTACCAGATAGCAGAAAAGTTATTGTGTATGGATTGATCGCTCCACCCTTGATGAGACGACAGCAAGTTGATGTCATAAGAACCGCTGATTGAATAGTTGACAAGATCTGAGTAGATGTAAAATGTATTGTTACTCCGGTGATCTCTGTGGAAAGCCTGGACGAAACCATTTCTGTAATTTATAGTTATAGCATTAAGAGCCTTGCGACTTGCAAATAGTGCCCATGTTACATCCCTCATTACTTCGTATAACTGCTAAGAGTCGAAAAGTTCAAAAAAACTGTTACCTACTACATATATATATAAACTGTCCTCAGATATAATTTGCAGCATTGGGAACAAAGAGAATATGTGAAAAAACAACCTCGACTTGTTGTGCTTGATTAACAGGCTTGCTGTACCGTCTGATGACATACTGTGACAATTTAACTTGTGCTGTAGTTATTTCGACAGTGGAATTCAAGATGTTCCACATTCGTAATATGGGACGCTGTAGAAGTTCATACCGAAGGCCATAAGCTAAATTTTCGAGTGATTTTGCTGTGTAGACCCTTGTAAAATGCCATGTCAACAATGTTAGCATTCCTATCAAAATTGCTAGCATCACCTGCGTGAAGCCATTGACAAGTATAAGAATTTCTGAACTGGAGTTTGTATCTGCAACTATATAAAAGAGAAAAATAACCAAGATTGAATTCTTCATTGTTTGCTATTGACGGAAAATTTAAGTGCACATTTGAAAGCTTGAAGAGGAGGAAGGGGGATGGCTGGCAGGGCTGCCACAGGGGTGGATGCATTGGTAGAATCTCACGTAGATGGGATTGTAGAGTACGTGGCCCTGGACTGTACATGACAGGTGCTGCCAAGTGAGCACACTGTGCGTGAGAGGGTGTGAAGCAAAGTCTGACATCTTCGTAATGTGTAATATACATCTCACAAAAATAATGCGCAGTATATAAGCATATTGAGGGTTAGGGCTTGGGGTTGAATTCCATCCAAGGCTGTGTGACAGTGAGAACTGAATAGTAATAGCTCTTGTAACTTTATACCAAAATTGGACCATACCCCATTGAGGAAATCAAATCAAGAGAAGAGTATGTCAATAAAGAAACAACTGAAAATAAATGAGAATTGTCATGGAAAGATGAAGCATATAATCAAGGGACATCCAAAATTATTTTCATATATAATTTTTATAGCACACCCACACAAACCAATCCTTGGGTAGGTTGTAGACAAGCTAGAACAATAAAATTTTGTTTTTTTTTTTTCTTTCTTCATACACAAATGTATCTGCCACATAATTCAGTGTTCATATTCATCAGGTTTGCTGACCATTTTATTTTATTTTTTCTTTTCTCTGTTGGCAATTTAATTAGACGAGGAATTCTCCAAGGCAGGATCACATTGGACCCATCCTTGCAGGGTAAAATAAGACAAAGGCGTGTCCAATGATCAGAGACAAAAAATTTACAAACCATGATGGCGAGGCGAACGACAAAGACACTGTAGTATGATGAGAGACAATGGCTGCTTGCATACAGGAACTCTTCTTGTTCTACATCCCTGTGGAAAGTTCTTCGGCTGCTGCTGCTGCTGCTGCTGCTGCGAGGAGATTGGTTCGTTTCCGAAGAATTAATGGTAAAACCAGAAATTCTGTTGAAGAAGACTCTGACCCTTCTCAGGAGTGATGCCATTGGTGGAGTGGTTGGAGGTGGTGAAGATTCAGAGCTTATAGAGGAGTGGGTTTCCTCTACTTTCTTTGCCATTTTAATCTTCCAAAACAGCAAGGTTGCTTACATGATATTGTTATTAAACATTTGCAAGTAGGAACACAGAGACAAAGAGAGGTGTGTGTGTGTGTGTTTTTTTTTGGGTACAAAGAGGGGTGTGTTTAATATTACTAGTGTCACTTCCACTTTTTAGTGGCACATTTACCAGAAGCTTTTGAAAGTGGGAGGTGGTGTAGTGTTATTCACTTATTCCTCATCCATATCTTCCACCCCTTTTTTTAATTGCCTTCGACAAATTCGACCGTTATATATAATGATTTTGGAATTTATGTAGGTCAAAATGGAGCAAAGATCCTCTAGAGTAATTTTTTCTTAAAGTTTTCTAGAGTGCTACATTGTGTAGTTGAGATTTACTGGTAAGTCACATCAATTTTTCTGATGTGACTTGACAGTAAATCTCAACCATACAATGTAGCACTCTAGGAAACTTTAGGGAAATTTCACTCTAGAGGATCCTTAGTGGTCAAAATGGCCATACCATGCTTGACCATGTACATCTTATTTTGCTTTTTTAGTTTCTTCCAATTTACTTGTTGAAAATGTTTTTTTTTCCTTTTTGTCTTGTAAAGAACCTTGTTTAAAGCAGGGTCATATTGGACATACTTGACAAAGTAAATTCTGAATATATGCAGTCACCTGCAAACTATATGTATATTATTGAGACCAAATCTATTACGAGAAGAGTTGAAACTACGCATTTGAATTTACGATTCAATCTACGGGAAGTCCCTTTATTATAGAACTATTCATGCAGATTTCATTAGTTAAAAATTTAGATCTCATTTGACAATATTACTTTTTAGCTTAAAAGCTAAAAAGCCATCAAAAGACTCAAAAAGCCAACTTATACAAAAAAGTTAAATATTCTTTTTTCTCTTTATTTTTTACACATCTTTTCATAAAAAAAATCAAAAATTCATCCCTAATATACTAATTTTTTTTACATCATATTTTAGCCAAAAAATTAAAAAGTTACTAAAAACGTCTGTTCCCAAACGAGGCCTTAGTATAGGGTTTCCAAATGTAGATCATTGGGCCCATAATTGGAAATTTAGGGATAGTGTATATGTTTGGTATTATTTTTAGAATTTGTTTTATGAAAAACACTAAAAAAATAATTTGGTGAAAAAATAATAATTTTTTTAAAAACACTCACCATTTTCAATTTTTGTGTGTGCTTCAGTCAAAAATAGTTTTAAAATTATTATTTTTTAATTTATTTTTATCATTAATTTTAAATAAAATATATTATGAAAGCGAAAATGAAAATTTCTTCGTTGAGGGAACATCTGTGTTGTTGGTTGAAGATCCAAGACCTAGGATCCTCAATTAAGGGGTGGTTTGGATAGAATAAGAAGTCGCATCAATGTTATGGGCATATGTGAACTTTTGGCAATGGAATAATGACTAATTGAGAAATTGGTCCTGCTGATTCCAAACACAGAATTGATGGGGCATCATAAAGTAAAAGAATCATAATTCAAAACTACACAGCCATGACTTCCAAGATTGTGATTCCCAAATGTTTTTCTTTGAGTGGACTAGATCACAATCTAATCAAAGAATTTTAATGTTGGAAGGGGAAAAAAATAGTCTTATAAATGTCAAATGACCATGAGGGTATTTATTTATATATAAGTTAGGGAGGACTGTAGAAAAATGAGAAGAAATATAAATAATTGTAAAAATGTGGAGCATAAAAAATTGGAAGTGGTTTGAAGTGCTGTTGGCCCTTTGTAGGGCTCATGGCGAATTTTATTTTGATAATTTGAATTGTACATTTTGTTCAATTATGCATGTAAATTATTCATGGAAAAATTAAATTGATCTGATTTTTATAATCACATATTTTGATGATATTTGTTTACAAAAATGGATGACAAAGATAATTTTAAAAAATAGATGGTCTATTTTTTCAAGGCAAATATGATAAAATCATGAATTATGATTATCAGATTAATCTGATTTCTTTAATAGGTGATCTACATGCATAGTTGAACTAAATAAATTGTTCATGTTATTGGAGTGGAGCTTGTGGTGAGTCCCAATAGCCCTCTAAAAAATAATTATAGTGGAGATGGAAACTTAAAAATTAACTACAAAACATAATGCAAATTGCATTTTTGCCCCTCCCACTTTCATGTCAGCAGCCCCTTTCTCTTCCCTCCCTCTCCCACTCTTCCGAGCAGCCAACCACCATCCCCTCTCCACGGTTCATTATTGCAAAAATGTTATTATTATATCATTCTTATTTTAAATTTTGTGTAAAAATCATATATATATGAATACTATTTTTCATAAATTTATTGCAATTCTATGCATGAATAAATGATCAACAATATTACACCGTTTGAAAATATTATCAAAGAATAAAGTGTTTATCTAAGTGTGACTCACGTATTATCTGGACGCTCAGACTTTTTATTGGTGCATGAGTTTAATCACGTCTAATGAATATAAACTCATGCACCAATAATTACCAATGAAAGTGGAGCTTTTTATTGGTGCATGAGTTTAACTACTCAATATTAATAGGCAAAACAATCTTTTAAACTTCCCATTTAATTACCTCTGATGCATTTCAAAGTTTTCAAAAATGATTTCACCTGAAATTCTAACTTAAAAGCATAACAAAAAGCAACAAGAAAAAAGATGAAGAAAGAGAACTCAATAGTGAGTAGTTCATGTATATGGACTTTGGAGCAAGTGGGATCAACGTATGGCTAATATTCTCTCTCTCTCTCTCTCTCTCTCTCTCTCTCATGTTTGTTGAAGATTATGGCCATAATCTTGTTGAAGATTGTGTGGCAAGGGCGGCTATATAATTTATGTGAAGCCAAAGGCATGCATGGGGCGTGCACTTTATGTGAATCATGTACCTTGACTTTGTGTGCCGAGCTTGATCCTGTAGAAGAAAAAATTTAAAGGGCATGTTTAGATTAAATATTTGGACAAATTTCACTTAACTCCCAGCTGTTTGGGTTATGTATAATTTATTCTCTAACATTTGAAAATAATCGCATAACCCCTTTTGGTTTGTGGATTGAAGTGCAACGTTAGACCCATTAACGATTAAATAAAAAAGACTAAAATATCCCTATATTTTTGTCATTTGTGAAAAAAAAGAAAGTAAGAGAAAAAAGTGAAAATTAATTTATATTTCATTTACATTTACTTTCAATTTTTTGCATTTACAAATTCTTACTCAAATATTCAATCTAAACACAGTCTAAGTGTAGAGTCATAGAATTAGATATAACTCTCTCACATGTCCTCCTTCCATCCATGTGAAGGTCGATTCTATAATCGAATTCTTTAATGAGACTTGCATATATATCTGATTGTTTGATGGATTTCTACTCAGCCTCTAGAAGCTCTGAAATGTTAATGAGTCCACATCACAAATCCATGATCAGCACCAACAAAGCAATACCTACTGCAGTTTGCTTGTGGCTTACTTAACACCCACTTAAACCCTGTAGCTGATGCCCTAGGTTTACCTTTAAACCAGCACAAATCAGTGCAACTTTATTTGCATAACTAATCATCACCACCATACTCTTCCATTCCAATTCCTCACTCTTTGTTGTTCTATAATTTCTCATTTTCACATTTGGAGACGTATCATTTTTGTACCCTAGTGAGCATGATTCACACATTTTTATTTTTTATCAAGAATTCTCCTTTTAATTTGCATTTATCCATGAGTTTTTAAAGACAATGTATGCCATGACGAGTCCTCTTCACCACATTTGTTAGGTTTTTAATTGTGTCCTCTTCTTCCACTATCTCTCCTAAAATCAATTGATATTTCAAAAGTTTCAACTTTGATTTCAACGAATATACAATTGATCGATTAATATCTCTTGAGACTTGGGGTCCTCGTGTGCATCTCCAACACAAAGAGTTTTGAAGGCCTTGTGCGACTCAATAAGTCCTATCTAACACGCATTAAAATCTTTGCATTTTATATTTTCACTGTCTCTTTTAAAATCAATTTATTGAACGATTTTGATTTTAAGACCTATATAATCGATCGATCAGTGTCTATAAGTCCCTAAAAAGCCCTCGTGCAGGTGTCCCACAAGAGTTGAATTGCTTGATCCCAACCAAACAACACTAATAACCAAGAGTTGAGTTGCTGTAAGCAGTGCATTTGTAGTTTCCATTACATGACTCGATTGATTATGTAGATAAGGGCACAATGGCTGATCTGTCATACAGGATGTGGACAGCTATATTGTGTCTACTTGCTCAGCATTTTGGCCTTGGTGCATTGGGTAACATCTCCTTTGAGAAGCATTAAAGAAAGAAAAAGTTTTTCTTTTTTTAATTTATTAATATGTGATATATTACTATAAAACCCAACAAATTATAGTCCAAAAATCAAATACAATACATAAACTTTCAAAAAAGGAGAGAGAAATTCCAAGCAAATACACTAAAGATAAAACATACATGTAAATGAAGCGATTTAAATCATTGACGTCTTAATGAGATATAAAAATTTTGATCATTGAGTTAGTCCTACTGATTAAAAAGAGAAAAAAAAGTTGGTCAGTTCAGTTTCATACATAACTTAAAAAGTATTAAAAAAATAAAAAAGTTGGTAACTCTCATATCATATATATGTATATAGCTTAGATCTGTATATCTTAAAGTATGAAAGAAAGGAGAGAGAGAGAAAAAAAGATTATTATTATAAATGAGAGTTGAGAAGGATTTGATTCGTTAAAATAGGTGTTTTTTAAAAGTGTCGTGGCCATGTGAGAGAGCTAGTGGTGCAAATTTAAAGGAACAAAGACATCACATTCCATGTTGGGTGCAACTTATAGTGCAAAGGCAAATATTTACTAACATTAATATATAACCACGGACTTATCCAGGAGATGGGTTTGTCTTGCATATTTGTCACTACTAGGTATGACTATAAATAAATTGCGCTGTTCATGACTAATTTGAGTTTGATTTGTTTAGAATTTGTTTGAGTTTAACTTATTTACTTATTGAACAAGCTTTAATCAAAATTTTAAATTTGTTTAGTAATTCAAGTGAACTCGAGTAGACCCAAACACAATTCAAATAAACTTGTGAACATGAATGTATAAATGTAGTTTGATCTAAATTCCGTTTTCGTAGGATTTGGCTTCTTGGAGGTTGCTACCACGGGTTCCATTTTAATGATTAAAACCGTTCATTTTGTCAAGACTTTCATGTATAT